TTTTATTGATTATCCATTGGCATATTCACTCTCTAGGAATTACCTATTCATATCCTTTGTTCCCTCCCCTCTCCTTTTCTTCCTATTGGGTTGTCCTTGTCATTTCTTTAATTATATACATTCTGGATACTTGTATTTTGTTAAGTTATATGTGCTGCAGGCTTGAGATAATCTTTTGGAACTTTTCTATTTGGTGGGGGGTGTTTGTGGTAGTGTATTAGTAAGACCCCCAACATTGTCTGCATCATGTATAGGTCTTCCCAAAACAGGCCCAGAGATAATTAATCTGAGATCAATTTTCCTGCAAGTTCGTACCTGGGGATGGGGTTGGGGGTTGTGATGTTTCCCAGACCACATAGGAAGTATGCATTTAGGTTCTCAAATTCATATGAAGTATGGGCCCAGAATTTGAGGATATTCGCAAGAGCATCCTGACCTCACAAGCCCAAGCATTCAAACATCTTTGCTTTCTCCTTTTGCCAACTGCATGGATTTTTCATAGTTCCTTCCTTTTGCTGTTGCTTTAACTCGAGGTCTCAGTTCAGCTTCCTGCATGGGGCCACAGCCTTGTCTCTTGTCAGCATTAAAACCCCAGTCTTTATTCCTTCAGTAACTGCATCAAAGGTTTTGCCTTCTCTAGTTTTCAACTGCTTTGCATCTCTTGTGTCCCTTTCTTAGAAGCTCAGCTGTGCATTAAAGGGAAGAAAAACAAAAACCACCTCAAGTTTATCCACTATTTCTAGATGTTTGTCTCAAGTTATTTCATATCAACCAGAACTGATATCTTTCATATACTCCCATCTCTCCTAAACATAGTATCTTCCTATTCCTGTTTTCCTGGCAAAGCTCTACTCATCTTTAATGGTCCACTTCCACTTTCAAGTTTTCTCTCACCTTGCCAAGAACAATTAGAACAGTTGCTATCACATTGTATCATTCCCTGCACGCCCCCCCCCCCCCCCTTACTGGTTTCTGAGCTCTTTGAAAGTAGAAACCAGATCTTGTTCATCTTTGTGTCTCTAGCTTCTCTGCCACAATGCCTATCATCAAGTAGACACTTGATAAATATTTCATTGAAGTGAAAGTATCTTCCTGCAGGCATATTGGGTCTAAAGTCTGAAGAACTTCCTTTAAAATAAGCATACTACCACCCACTAACTACACTCATGATTATTTTTAGGATTGTGAAAGCTCATGATATACAACAGGCATCTAAGATATTTGTGTTTTTTGAACAACTTCTGAGACTGTTTTTTCACTGTGGCAGACCGAATTTTTCAAAGGTGAATGCAACCATTCTCCAAGCTCTTTTTAAAACAATTTTTGTCTGTACTGGGTATTCATTTTTGGCACATGGGCTTGCTCTAGTTATGGTGTGCAAGTGGCTTCTCCTGTTGTGGAACATGAGCTCAGAGGAAGTGGGCTCTTTACTTGTGGCACATGGGCTTAGCTGACCTGCAGCATGTGGGCTGTTAGGTCCCCAACCGGGGATTGAACCCGCATTCCCTGCATTAGAAGATGGATTTTTAACCACTGGACCACCAGGGAAGTCCTTCCCCATGCTCTTTCGCAGTGACCTCACTAATCCTTCATCAAGAGGTAGAATTTACCTCAGCACTCCCTGGTATCTAGGTGGTCCCTGTGACTGCTTCAATCAATAGGATACAGTGGAAGTAATGTGTGCCAGTTCCAGTCAACATTCTTTTTTTTTTTGGGCCACACTGCAAGGCTTGTGGGATCTTAATTCCCCAACCAGGGATTGAACCTGGGCCACCACAGTGAAAGCACCAAGTCCTAACCACTGGACCGCCAGGGAATTCCCTGAATCAATACTAACTGGCCTAGTGACTTCTGCTTCCCGCATTACGCAATGCAACCATTTGAGCAAAGCCCAAGGCATGGAAAGATATGTTTAGGTATATTAGTTGACAGCCCCAGCAGTTCCTAGGGAATGGCCAGCATTAACTTCTAGCCAGACTAGTAAGTCATCTTCGACATCCAGCTCAGTTGAGTCTCTAAACTACTACATTCCCAGCTGCCATCTTACTGTAACCACATGAGGTACTTCCAACTGGGCTCATTCAACCAACCAAACTGTGAGAAATAAGCTGTTGTTTTACACCATTATATTTTTAGGTGGACACAGTGAAAGTCGCTCTGTTGTGTCCAACTCTTTGCGACCCCATGGACTATATAGTCCATGGAATTCTCCAGGCCAAAATACTGGAGTGGGTAGCCTTTTCCTTCTCCAGGGGATCTTCCCAACCCAGGGATCAAACTCAGGTTTCGCTCATTGCGGATGGATTCTTTACCAGCTGAGCCACAAGGGAAGCCCAAGAATACTGGAGTGAGTAGCCTATCCCTTCTCCAGTGGATCTTCCCGACCCAGGAACTGAACCAGGGTCTCCTGCGTTGCAGGAGGATTGTTTACCAACTGAGCTCTCAGGGAAGCCCTGGTATGGCTTCCCAATTTATAGCAGCTTCCCACTTAGGGTCAAGGTACAATCCGAACACTCATTTATAGAATGTGGATAATAATCCCTACTTGTACAAAGTGTTCTGAAGTTCGCTGAAGTTGTGAAATCATCTTCAAAGCAGTTAAGCCCTATACAAACATGTTATCTTTTCAGTAAATAATAAAGTTAAAACTTCATGTGGGATCTAGTTCCCTGACTAGGGATAGAACCCACACCCCCTATAGTGGAAATGTGGACTTTAATGGCTGGACCTCCAGGGGTCTCTCAAATTCTTTTATATTCAAAAAAGGAGAGGTAATGCCTTGCTTCTCTTATAAATATTCCTAGTTCTCAGGTAGGGATGATGTGTTTGCATCTAACCTGCTCTCAGGCATGAAACCTTCCAAGGCCATCTAAAAATCTGGCCTCACAACAGTCTTGCCGTCCCAGTTAACATGATTATCTCCCAGTTCTGGATTCAAACCCTCTAGCATTCTCACTTCCCTCCAATTCCAACTATGTGCTCAGAAAAAGCCCTGTTCCTATAACCGACTCTAATCTCAATTCAGTCATCCAAAGTTAACTCTAATCAGTCTATGCCTCTGACTAGAAGTTTCTTCAACAACTATTCTTCCTTATGTGAAGTCTTGAGAAGTGTTACAGTATGGTGATTAAGAATAGAGACTCTGAGATTGATTCTTTACTAGGTGTTTGAGTTTAGTGAAGTTAGCCTGTTTTGCTGTATTTTAGTCCTCTATAAAGTGCTTGATACTGTACCTGGTACGTAATAAAGAGCTATGTGTTAGCTATTATTATTTTAATTATACCACGTGTCAGATTAACTGGGCCAACTAATTCAATCGTATTTACAAAGCAATTGTTCAAAAGGCATACATATCTTGTCTGACTTTCCAAAGCATTTTCATGTTTCACAATTACTATTCAACAAAATGGTAAGTTGAGGAACTAAATGTAAGACTTTAGTCTTTTAGTCTTTCTGACTAGTTCTGACTAAATAACTACGTAAAATTTTTTAGAACTTAATTTGCCCTTGTGCTATATACAGTAAGTCTTTTTTAAAATCCAGTCACTCGGTAAGGTAAATTTAGTAGGGTCAATATCCCAGTAATGTCAATGAACATCAAATGAGTGTCTTGATTCTTAGAACAATAACCTACAATAACCTATTTCTTTCCATTTTTATCTGTCTCCTTAACATTGTTAAGGAAGCACTCCATATGTCTTAATGTACACAAGAGCATCTGGAAATATTTTGATAATCTGAATATTCACTAAATGGAAAATATTCTAAGAGATAAATACTACTGTTGGTAATTTTGCCTTAAACCTCAACTGTAGAAAAATCTAGACTAGGAAAATTGATTCTCCATGGGCTAAAAGAGAAACCAGAATTAAAAGAGAAAACATTGGTTTAGACTCACTTATTGCCATCTTAGGATGTTAACTGGCAGTCTCTGTAGTCAATAAAATGGGAAATACAGAAAATACTCAGGTGTCTTAGCTCGTCAACCAGTCTTTGCTGCTTAGGCAATATACATGCTTTTATTTGCTCAGTATTTTTTCTTATGAACTCTACACATGTTTATTTTTTCTTAAAATATAAAGCCTTAAAATGCAGGTACTCTCTCTCTAGCATATGCCCAGAAAGGAAAAACTTGGTGTCCAATGGCCTCTAGAATCAGACCTGAAAAAGTTATTAATCAGACTATGGATTCAGGGAACTGGGGATAGAGTCACTAAAGAGGTTGAGACAGCAGATGAGGGTTGAAGCACTTTTAATCACAAAAGAGTAAACAATAGTATAAACCGTTAACAGCTCACCCAGTGGCTGTTGTCCTCCAGCCCTCAGCTCACCTGCTCCCCCCACCCCACTTCCTGCGTACCATTTGAATAAAGAGCAGGGTATCAGCAGTTGTCTTGTCCCTGTCACTACCAGGTGGCAGGAAGGGGATCTAGCTATGGGCCGCAGCAATCCTGGCCACCCATTTCATGGCTGTCTGTTTGCATACAGCTTCATGCGAAATATTCCAGCTCCAAACAAGAAACAGTGCAGAAACGTGGAGCTAAACTCAGCTGCTCCATTCAGATGGTCAGGGCTCAAGAGCCATGGGCAACCAGGGAGGGGACACTCTGGAAACAGCATAATTCAAGATGCAGCCAAATCTGGGACTGAGGTGGGTTCAGAGGAGACCAGGCAAGGCCTAACGGCCCTAGTCCAGAAATGGCCCCAACCTAGGCAACGAGACTCATGCATATGCACAAATGCACATGCACAGGGCGTGCACATACACACACACGCACGCGCACACACAGAGCAAATAACATTACTGAAAACCTGGAGGCTATTAAATACGAAATGGCAGAGTTTTTTTTTTTTTAAGTGAAAATATTTGCTTCTTTGATTCTCCTCAGTGCCCTGCACACCCCCTAGTCCCAGGAATGTAGATGTGGGGAGGACCAAGAGAAGTAGGTGGCCAGTGGCCCTACAAGTCCGTCTATGCTGAAGTCCCCATACCAACCGCCTTACTCTTCAGCCCAGTAGCTGCCTCCCATGTGACCATTCACCCGATTGGCACCATTGCTGGAGCTGCGGCCACAGGGGCCTTTTGTGCTGGTGGTTATATCTTCTTCCTCTGAGCTGCTCTCCACATCACTGCGATCATCTTTAGACACCTGGGAGGGATGGGGCAAAGGTAGGAAAGTTAAGGACAGAACTTTTCTAGAATCATAAGACATAGCCCACAGAGCCCATGGTTGGGCACTGTTTCCAATCTGGCCTACTTTCTGGTGGCACCTGACTCAAAATACCATCGGGACCATAGAGACTTATGAATACCTGCCTGCTTTCTGTGTTTCTCTCATCATCTCTAATTCTGTTCTCAATGAAGTTAAGTAGCTGTCTTGGTAGAAGAGTTTACCTTTCAGGACCAGCCTAAAAGAGCTAAAAACATTCACATACCCTTTCTCTTCTACCTCAAAAAGAGAAAAGGCCAACACAACAATACAGGGCTGTTGTCATCACTTCCACTGCAGTTTTGGTTATCTAGAGTTGGAGAAGGCAATGGTACCTCACTCCAATACTCTTGCCTGGAAAATCCCATGGATGGAGGAGCCTGGTAGGCTGCGGTCCATGGTGTCCCTAAGAGTCGGACATGACTGAGCGACTTCACTTTCACTTTTCACTTTCACACATTGGAGAAGGAAATGGCAACCCACTCCAGTGTTCTTGCCTAGAGAATCCCAGGGACGGGGGAGCCTGGTGGGCTGCTGTCTATGGGATCACACAGAGTCGGACACGACTGAAGAGACTTAGCAGCAGCAGCAGCAAAGTTTTACTATATCCCCAAAGTTGATCCACAATTGGGTCTTTTCAGCTGTTCTACTCTTCCTGGGCTCAAATGTTAACATCCTATGATGCTTGTTTCTTCAATTCTTTCCCTTTTCTTGTAACAGGATTACCTCTCTAGTATCCTGAAGATACACAACATGGTGAAAAGAAAAGCAGACTGGCAGTCAGCGAGACAAGAATCCCAGTCCCAATCATGCTGTTCTCTATGAATCTTCACCTTTCAAACTCAGCTTTTTATTCTGTATTTTCAAGTGAAGGATTTGGATTAAAGCAGTGTTTTCTGATCTAAACTATCCTGCATACCAAGCAAAGTATTTCAAATTTTCTAGCATGGACCATAAAAGTAAAAAGGAGAGACACCCAGTGTCTGTCAGGCTTTTGCCCTCCAGAACTGAAGGTTAATAAACGAGTGTTTTTTTTTTTTTTTTTAAGTAAATAAGAGAAGGAGGTGATAAGGAAACAATACTATAATTGCTGTTACCAGAGGGTGGGGTACTTGCTTTGGTTAGCTCTAAGATTCTATGGTTTATTATAGCTATTGACCTCTGAACCCAGATCACGAGTTGATTATCTGATCTTCAGGAAATTTCCACCAGAGGGCAGTGTGTTAGATTTGAGTGAAAGGGAAGCTCAAAAAGGACAGATGGGGGCGGGAAGGGAAAAACAGAAATGGAAAAAAAAAACAGAGCAGACTCTACTCTTGCCTCAATTTAGGAAAAAGAATCTGGCAACTTGAGCTCCATTCAACAATGCCCCACAAGGTCAGGAGAGAAGGCATGCTCCATACAATGCAGGGAAACAGAAAGGAAAGCAGGAAGGAAGAGAAACACATTCAGATAGACATGCTTCACTGAACACTAGAAGCACAGATGCACTTACATGCAAGAGATGAAACTGTCCAGCTCCCACCAGGCATAGAAAAAAGGAAGGAGGTGAGAAAAGAGTGGAGAGTACAGAGTCTGGGTCTAATCCTTCCTGGATAGGTCACCTGGTCAGGGAAGAAAAGCAGGGGAAAAGAGAGATGTCCAATAGCTACACCAAGATGCACAGGCACACTAAGCAAGTTATGAAACCAATTAAAGCCATAAGGAACAGTGTCACAAGAGACCATACATTCCTGGGAACATCCCATCCCTTGTCCTAGAGTCTGTATCCTCCACCAGAGCCCCTCCCGTTGGGATTGTATACTACTGAAGGCTGAATCCCTCAGGCTAATCACAGTTTGACTAACTGCCTCAGAATTTGCAAAATTCAGTTATGAGTTTTATCACAGAATAACGCCTTTCTTTGTGCTTTTGGGCTCCTGACGTAAAGTGGGTATTTGAAGCCCTAAAAACCTATCTCACTTAAGACCCTGCCTCATGCAACAGTAAGGGAGGCTGGTACTTAATTCCTTACATAAACTGTATCTTGAACACCACAGTGTGGCCATCTTGGGGTGGCTTGTGAATTACCATACCACTCCTAGGCAATCTAACATCTTGGCTTCTATACAGTTTACATCTTGGAACTCTGCATATGATTTCCTTACATCTTGCAGCTCTGCATATGACTTCCTTTGAAAAAAGGCTTCCATGCTAAAAATAAAAATATGAAATCCATGATGTAGGTAGGTAAGGGGTAGGTGATGGTTGAAATGGTCTCCAAAACCTAATCCTGTTTATTATTTAACAAAAAGTCATTCCTGGGGGACAGGAAGAAGGCAGATCCTGCCTCTGACATCTAAGTCATGTGTTAGATGGCTAAACACTCATACTTAGAGAAAAGATGAAAACCTTAGAGCCCTAGGCTTTTTGCTTGGTAATACCCGAAAGAAAGAAGCCATCTTTCACCCTTACCTTTCCTCGGATCAAGGCTTTGAAAGCAATTCGTGCAATTAGGTAAGACCAGATGACATGCAGAACCTGAAGGACCAGGAGAAGGCTGTTGAAAAGCCACCAGGAAGGATAGGGCCCAATCATCTCCCAACTCTCAAAGAGGGTTGTGTTCAGGATCCTATAAGAGGAAGGTCAATGGTCAGATTCTAGAGTCAAAGCCAGACACATAGGGATGAAGTTGAATTTCCTGGAAAGCAGAACCTTGTGTTTTTACCCCATACCTTCTATCAGTTGAAGTTCCAGGGATATTCATGCACAGTGAGAAGACAGTAAAGAAAGGGGCCCCTGGAGTTTTCTATCTTTAGGAATAATGGAAGATATAGCATTCTTAGCAACTGACAGAATAAATCAGATTACTAATCACTTCAAATAAGTCACATTACTAAACCAAATATGCAGAGTATCACAAATTTGGGACAACAATTTTAACAATAACCCTAGGAATAATTCAGATCCTCACGCACATATAGGACAGCTGATGGCCAATTCCCTCAGACTAAGGAAAATCTCCATCCCAGAGAGTCAATCAATGACTTGTCATATAAAGTCATGAGTATAGAATTGAGAGTGGTTTGGGAGTGGCAGTGGTCAGGGTGGGAGACAGTATAGAGCAGGAAAATAAGCAAAAGCCCGAGACGTCCGTAATCGGTGCAAAAGAAGGCAAAGGAGTTACTTAGGCATAAGATGAGGACTAATCCTCAGAGATACATCAGGAGAGCCATAGCTAAGTGAGTTGTATGCTCTCGGTCTACATCATACTGCATTAGAAATACTGTACAAGGGAAATGAGGTCCTTCAAGAATCCATAAAAGGTCAGGTAAGTCAAGCAAAAAGCAGAACAATAGATAAGGTTAAGGAACCTTGGTGTCTGTTCCCTAAACTGGTGACCAGTTTATTGTTACATATTTACCACAGCTCCACAGCCCTAACACTTACCAGAATGGATAGATTCCTAGGCGAGTCACCACAAAAACAGCACTGAAGATCACAAAAAGGGTGTCACAGAGACGCTGGTACTTTGCATAATTGGCTAGCTTGGCTGCCTAGAGAAAGAAAGATAAGAATTGAATTGGGGAGAAAGTCAGTTCTCAAATAGGAAGAAAAGTAAAGAGGACTAGTGAGGAAAGAGTCGTTGAGGGGTCTTACCTCCAGCAAGAAGTCTGAGACATCATGTAGACACAAGACCAGCGTTCCCACTCGAACCATGTTGTTGATGTAAGAGAAGGTAATAAGCCCAATGGTGGCCAGATGATGCACAAACATGATCAGAAAGTCCTAGGAAGGAATGCAAATAGAAGAGGCAGGTAAAGGCAAGGCCACAGAGCTGCTACACAGCTCAGTGCCCTGCACTGTTCTCAGAGAATCTCATCCCACCCCTTAAGTTTCATCTTGTTTAAATTCTCCCCTAGGGAGCTGCCTAACATTTCACCCAAAACTCTACATCAGTGACTGACCCATAATCTACACTCAATCTATAGCTCAAAACACAGAAAAGAGCAATTTTCTTTGGTAGCTGCAGAACATGTGGACTTCAGATGCTTAGCTGATACATAGAGAGAATTTCCCAGGTGGTAGTCAGGCATATAAGCCTTAGATATCTCAGATTCCTTGAGCATCTGAGACTCTTCTGCATTGATGAAGGCAATTTCAACCAAAGGGACCTAAGAGAAAGGGGAGGTTTGTGGAGGGGAGAAGCTATTCCAAAACATTTCAGAGAAATGCTAAATAGTCCATCTTACTACAAGCACTTCCTGCTCTCAGATTTAAAGCTCTAACTTCCTCTTGGGTTCAAATAACAAGGTTAGACCCTGAGAAATCTCTAAATACCTGAGTTATTACACACATCTAATAAATACTTCTCAGCCCAGTGAGGGATAGAGGGTGGGAGGAGGCAGGTAAATTGCATCAGAGAAGCAAGGATATAAAGCCTATGCTCTCCATATGGATGGATACAATCATATGTTCTAGCTCTTGAGTTGGGATGAGTTCACAAGTACACATTCTAGAACGTTTTAAAACCTACATACATATTATAAGCCTTTTTATATGTGTCATGTATTAAAATGAAATTTTAATAAGGAGACCTATGTCTCCATAGGAGGGTGTGTAACTGTCCTGAGTAACCAAAGGAGGGTGAGAGGCATTTAAATTATATATCACGCTTCTAGGTTATACAACAACCAATAACCCAGATTAATGTCTGGGTTCTACAATCAGGTAACTCTGATTTATTTTCCTTACCAAAGATAACTATGAGTTAGTGACAGATTAGGGTTAGAGCTGCTGGAATTGCATTATGTCAGGTGGATGCCAATAAAAGGTGAAGATTCTGCCCTTTTTGTATACTTACAAAAAACTTAAGTCATTTCCAACTTTGCCATTCTGCAGGCAAGTCAACTCACTTCTCTGAATCTGTTTCCTAAATAACAGCAAGAAAAGGGTAAACTAAAATATGTAAAACCCCTCCCAACTGACATTCTTTTAAGTAAGTGGGGTCACCAAGAAGACAGAACAGAGAGGGAACAAGGGTCACTAATGGCAAAAGTTCTTCTGGAATCGAAGCTTTTCCTGGATCAGGCCTTGCTATCCCTAAGTTTTGACTAGTTTCTTGAGCTTTATATGTATAAGAACCTTGGAGAAAAACAAAGAAAAGGGTAGTCTTCTTAGATGGTTAACTGTTTTCATCCTGGGCTGCCTTGAATGACTCAAATATACTTCACCAGTCGGGTCTCACTTCTGAGAACACTACAAACAGCTAAAAGTCCCATTGAACCTACTTTCAGCCTCTTTTGTGGTCCTAATCAGGACAGAGAATCCATCACAATGATAATAATGGTAGCTGCTGGAAAGGAGGGTGTCATAAATCAGGGTGTTAAGGGAGCCAATGTCCTTACCTTTCTTTTAATGTCTGTAAACTGAGAAAACATGAGAGACCAATAGAAAGCCAATTCCATGATATAATAGTAATAAAGCCCACTTGTGAGAGGCTGGAAGAGAAAAAGTAGTAGTGAGGATACCAGTTAGTCAAAGACTCATTCCATGTCCCCAACTTTCTCTGTGCCAGCGAACTCATACCCCCGATTATTAAATATTCTTCCTCTCCATCATCTTCCAAGATGTGCAATAGTTAACAGACTTTGCATAGGTGTTGACGCTTAAAACTCTTCCCTTCCACATATACATCTTTGTGTGCTAAATCACTTCAGTCATGTCCAACTCTTTGCAACCCTATGCACTATAGCCTGCCAGGCTCCTCTGTCCATGGGATTCTCCAGGCAAGGATACTGGAGTGAGTTGCTATGCCCTCCCTCCAGGGGATCGTCCCGACCCAGGGATAGAACCCACGTCTCTTATATCTCCTGCATTAGCAGGTGGGTTCTTTACCACTAGTGCCACCTGGGAAGCCCATAAGCATCTTTGGCTCATCTTTTAGAGATCAGATAAGTTTCCCTGGTAGCTCAGCTGGTAAAGAATCTGCCTGCAATGCAGGAGACCCCAGTTTGATTCCTGGGTTGGGAAGATCTGCTGGAGAAGGGATAGGCTACTCACTCCAGCCTTCTTCGGGCTGGTAAAGAATCCACCTGCAATGTGGGAGACCTGGGTTTAATCCCTGGGTTGGGAAGATTCCCTGGAGAAGGGAACGGCTACCCACTTCAGTATTCTGGCCTGGAGAATTCCATGGACTGTATAGTCCATGGGGTTGTAAAGAGTCAGACATGACTGAATGACTTTCACTTTCACGGTTAACAAAGACATGACTGAGCAACTAAGCACGTGTGCACATGCGTGCGCGCACACACACACACCACAATCAAATCAGTGTTTCTAGAATTCTGGGGAATTTTCAGGGGATTAAATACACTGAGGCCTTTCCTTCTTCCACCCTGTTAGCAACCCCCTGACATTTTTCTACTTTAGACTACAACCAAGATGCTCTTATGGGATTCAAAAGGGACACCTGAACCAGAAAGCACCTCATTAAGTGCCAGGAAGCTGCTTCTCTTTCCAGCCCAATTAGGGTGAATATCTGGAATAAACAGATCCCTGGACTTCACTGCTGTTGGGGACCCCAAAAATACATACTGTGAACATATGACTCAAAGAGACTCAGTCCCTAATCCCTTAAGAATCTCAAGGGAATGTGCCATCTGCCCTGGGACTGGCGATGCACTCTTCCCAACCCCATCCCACACACACACACACACACATAAGGCCCCTGTCTTGAAGGGCTCAGATCTTACCTGATAAGGGTAACTGTGCCAGCACTGTCGGGTGTCCCAGAACCAAGGTGACTAAGAAAATAAATAATCCAAGTCAATTTTCAGAATTCCCCCCTGGCCCATCTACACCTTTCTCTCTATACTTTGGGCAAAGAGATGGGAAAGAAAATAGAATCCCTCTAGACAGAATTTAGGGATCCTTAAAGGCTAAATAAACAATTATACTTTTTTCCTAGAAGAAGAAAGTGCTATTACGAAGAGAGAAACCAGACACAAGAGCAAAGAGAGTGCTAGGATAGCTTTTGGAAACATCATGACCTAGAATATATAGGAAATTGGGAGGCAGGAAGACAATGATTTCATTTAATAATCAAAGGAGATCTCTCTGTGCCAAAGATTCAAAAGTCAAAAGTAATCATCTCCAATGGAGTTTCAATTATGTCCTTTGAAAGGGTTATCCATTTCATCTAAATTGTTGAATTTATTACTATTAAACTGTTCATAATGTGGTCTTACTATTCTTTCAAAGTCTACAGGACCTATAGTGATAGCCTCTTTTTCTCCCTGATATTGATAATTTGTTTTCTTGTTTTTTTCTAAAGGTTTATCAATTTTAATTAAAACTTTCAAAGAACCAACCTTTGGCTTTAGTAATTTTCTCCATTATTTTCTAATGCCTATTTCATCAATTTTTGCTTTTCTTCTTTTTTTTCTTTCTTTCCTTTAACTTACTTTGGGTTTACTTTGCTCTTCTTTTTCTGGATCTTAAAATGAAAACTTAAATCATTGATTTTAAAGTTTTCTTCTTTTCTAATATAAACAATTAAAGTTATAAATTTCTTCCAAAGTATGCTTTAGCTGCATACCACAAACTTTGGTATGTTGTATTTTCAGCATCATTCAATTAAAAGTATTTTCTAATTCCCTTGTGATTTCTTATTTGATATTTGGGTTATTCAGGAGAGTTGTTTAACTTATGAATATTTTCTAGATGTCTTATTATTATTGATTTGATTCCTGTTTTAATTCCATTATGGTCTGAGAACATATTTTATAAGATTTCAAAATTTTAAAATTTGCTGAGACTAATTTTATGGCCTAGCATATGGTCTATCTTAGTTGCTATCTTTTACATAGACTTGAAAATAATATATATCCTTCAAAAATAAAAATAAAAGAATAAATAATATATATCCTTCAGCTGCTGATGTGATGTCCTATAAACGTCAATTAAGCCAAACTGGTTGGACTGTTATTTAAACCTTCTACATCCTCAGTGATTTTTTTTTTTTTTTGTCTAGTGATTTAGTCAATTATTAAGAGCATTAAAATCTCCAAATAGGATTGTGTAATTGTCTATTCCCTTCCTTCAGTTCTGCTTCCTTATGTTTCACATATTTTGAAACTTCAATTATGCATTTAGAGGAAAATACTGTGGTACAGTAGGGGAAAAAAAAAGACTCATGATCAAAACGCCTGAAATTCTTCTTTGACTCTGATAATCAATTGCAAAGCAGGAATAATAGCTACTTCAATGAGTTACTGACTTCATTTCTGTAACTGTCCCCTCCTTGCAAGAATAGGACTTTTGTCAAATGCCTTGTAAACCATCATGTACTATGTTGATTTAATTAATACTATTATTATTAGCATTACTTAAGGAGAAACAGAGTCATGAGGTTACTGATGTCAGGCCCCAGACAGAAGACAATCTATTTAGCTTATAAACCTGGGCTCTAGGCATCACAAAGAAAAAACAAAAGAGAGTAGAGGACAAAGCTCTAAAGGTATTTAACTCTTATCTCTAGGGATGCACGAATGATTAGAACCCAACAGAGAACCAGAGAAAGTTCAGACTCACCGACCAGAGAAATCTAATTCCGTAGCAGAATATACATAAATAAAAAGTGAATCTCCACCTAGATGGGTGAAGAGTAGAAGTTAGACAAACATTTACTCAAAAGAAAGTCTTTGAGCTAAAGAATTCAAGATAGCACATTTGGGGATAACACAGTTATCATAAGAAACTGATGATATAATGTTACCCAAAAAGCCAAAGACATAAAAATCTTCCAGCCTCTGTTTAAAAATAAGATTTCTACAAGTATATACTGGTTTCAGTGAACTTTTCTTCTATATCAGACTCCCTGATGATAGTGCCTATGTTTGGGTTTTTTGGTTTTTTTTTTTTTGCAGGACAATGAGAAATAGTGCTTGGTGTCCAGAGGATAATCAGTAAAAACCCAATGAAATGAACTACAGCATGTCCAGAAAAGGGATGCTTCCTATTAAAATGTCAATCTACAGCAAGCTGGAACTATCTCTACCAGGGTATACAAGGGTGTGCATATCTACCTACGTAAGCGAAAGTAGAGGAATTCCTAATTTCTTTGGGAAAGGTGAACAAAATGCAACTACAGCTAGCTTAGGGGCAAGCATGTCTAAGAAACTAAGGGTGACCAGGCTTTCAGTCTCTTCTTTCCAGCCTATAACAGAGTTAGCCCTTTGCATCCATTGACTGTTATCCTAACAGGAGAAGTGATTTCCAAAAACAAAACCTTAGTTCAGTCATACCCCACCCTTCTCCTCACTCCCCACCTCCTTCCGTACACCTACATGCTTTCACAAAATTTAGTGAGCGTTGGGGGCTTGTCCTGATTCCTCCGATGGCGAAACCAGCATTGGATTTTTCGGACATCCCAGTCTAGTTGCTTCGACAGGCCCTCCAGCCTTTTCTCATCAGGATACTGTAGGCGTATGACCAGAGTCAGAACATTGCTTTTTCTTCAAACCTCTCTCATTAAAGCCCTTTGACAAGCTGAGTGGCAGAGGGGTAATAACTACAGTGACTTAAGTAATGTTTTTCTTTCCAGGTTTCATCCCCAAAGTCATTTTTATGTAAGAAGTACTATTTTACACATCAAGGACCTTCACCTATATACATACCTATTTGGTTTTCTCCCTCCGGCCCAAGTGAGTAAAAAAAAAAAATTAAAAACTCAACCTGGGAGGGAGGTTTAGAGGGAAGGGACATTATGTATACCTATGGCTGATTCATGTTGATATTCAGCAGAAACCAACACAATTCTGTAAGGTATTTATCCTTCAATTAAAAAAACCCCAAAATCCAACCTGCAAAGGCTATCAGTAACATCTCTATCTTGATTATGCAACTAGGTAATGACAAGAGCTGAAGCAGGGAAAAACAAAATCAAAATATGATGTGTGTCTTGGGGAGGGGAGTAGGGGTGGTGGTGACTGCTAGGCCTAAATCTCCAATGTATGTAATCCTGACTTATTTAAGGATCCTAGCCCAAAGGTATTTCCTTGAGTGGATAAAGTTCTCCTAATAGCTCTATGGACTATCCAAACATGAAAGACCATCCCATCCTATCCTTAGCTTTGGAAATACTTACTCTCTATCCTCCCATGCCCTATGGGATGAGCCCTAACAAAAATCTTCCTTTTTTTTTTTGGCCCACTTACCTTGGTAATAGACATGAACACCTTTTCAAGGATAGCATTAGGTTGTGCCTGATAAGGACCACTGTCCTGGATGCCAACATGGAGTGCACAGGGTTTGGCAATAAACCTGTAATGGAGAAAACCCAAAAGCCAATTCTAAAAATTGTTTGCTAGGCATTAAGCAAAAATCCCGATTAGGGGACTGATAAAAAGAAAAGGGGGAAACACTTGGCAGGGAGCCAGAACTTTTTGATTTAATCCTGAATTCTGCCATTGATTCACTTGAGAAGTGACCTGTTTAAGAAATATTGGAACATAAGCTCTCTTTCCATTTTTCCCTGGTTATCACATTTTGAGCTTTAAAGTAAGAAAGACCTAGATCAAATCATTAGTCTACCATTTACCACCTGTATGAACCTGGGCAACTTATTTAGTCTTGCTAAAACTCAGTTTTTTTTCATTTGTAAGATAAAAAATAATATCAACATTCTTGCTACTGAACATAAGGCCAACAGATAAATAGCATTACTGACTTTTCCTAGAAGCTTTTTAGAAGTGCAGAATCTCAAACCCCATCTCAGACCAGCAAAATTAGAATCTGTACTAACAAGATTCCCAGGGGATTCATTCATATTCCCATTAGAAGTGGGTCTACTTTACTTGAATCTTGTAGGTACAATGATATAATGTATATGAAGACCCTGACGCAAGAAAGTGCTTAATAAATGATAGTTCTCCTTATATCAAACCATCAAGATCTTAACTGGAGGGAAAAGTAGAACTGAGACTGAGCTCTTCCTAAACAAATATCCTTGGTCATGGTCACCTTCCTGCCTAATCAAAAGACTATGGAAGTAATTAGAACTTTGAAGCTCTGAAGAAAAAAAACCCCAGAAACTACAAAGAGTGGTAAGAAAGAAATTACCTATTAGTACTCAGTTCTAGTCCCAGATCTACCAATAATAAGACACATAAACTTGGTCAAGTCACTTAATTATTGAGTTTTGGTTTTGCCATCTAAAGGAGATGATGTGTAAGATTTTTTCTGAGATTCTATGATGATATCATTGATTATAATTAATTTATAACTTTTGATTTGAAAATTGAGGAATTATTCCTTGGCTCTTTAAGAAAGATCTCCCTCTTCCATAATCAAATATTTCTATGAGCCTCAGTTCTAAGAAAAGCTTTATGTAATCACTTTCAGAATAATCAAAATCAGTTCTAACTCTCTTAGCATCTTAGGGAGTTGTATGATGAAATAATAACTGGGAGGTGTAAGATGGAGTGCTCTTGACCTATTTTATTTATCTGCATTCAAATCCAGAATTTATCTCTAAGGGAGGGACTGAAAATAAGAAGCTCTGTTTATTATCTTTCTCTGTGAAAACTTCTTTTACCTTTATCACCAAAGTTCCCAAGACATGGGGAAACACTGATTCAGAGCACAAAGTAATCCACATCTGTAACCCATTCTTCTCTTTTACACTAGTATAAAACTTTCATTCAAATACCAATGCTAATAGAAACATTAGTTTATATTTCCTGGTATATAATTCTGTGTACAAACATTTTAAACTCCTACCCATTTTAAACTCCTTGAGAAGACAGAGAATACTGCTTTTGTATTTACCAAGGTTCTGTGCTCAGTAATTGCATGCCGAGTGATAGGTGTAGCTTGCTGTTGGAGCTCAGTTTGGACCCAGCACTGATCAGTATCCAGAAGGGTAATTAATTAAGGAAGCAATACTTGAGACTTCCCTGGCAGTTCAGTGCTTAGAACTTCATGTTTCCACTGCAAGAAGTGGACTTCCTTGGGTGGGTTCAATCCCTGGTTGGGGAACTAAAATCCCACAAGCTGCATGGTGTGGCCAAACAAAAAAAAAAAGGTAGCCATTCTTTGTTGTTGAGTTGGTGCCATATCACATCTGAGATAAAAGCACTGAATCATCTCTCTGAATGAAGAAGTAGACCTGAGAACAAAAAAAGTCTTTCCAATTCTTAATTCTTATTCCCTGAAGTAGGCCTCTTCCTTAATGCAGTCAGATTAAAGGCCCTGGGGCTAGGCAGATTTTGACTTCATGACAGTTACCTACAGAATGAGGATGAAAATATCTGCTCCACAGGGTTATTTTAAAGATGAAATGACATAGTTACAGTAGAGCTCAGTCATATCTGACTCTTTGCGGCCTCATGGAGTGCAGCACACCAGGCTTCCCTGTCCATCACCAATTCCCGGAGCTTGCTCAAACTCCTGTCCATCGAATCGATGATGCTATCTAACCATTTCATCCTCTGTCGTCCCTTTCTCCTGCCTCCAATCTTTCCCAGCATCAGGGTCTTTTTCCATGAGTCTTCCCATTAGGTGGCCAAAGTATTGGAGCTTCAGCATCAGTCTTTCCAATGAATATTCAGGACTGTTCTCCTTTAGGATTGATCTTGCAGTCCAAGGGACTCTCAAGAGTCTTTTCCAACACCACAGTTCAAAAGCATCAATTTTCAGTGTTTAGTTTTATGGTCCAACTCTCACATCCATACATGACTACTGGAAAAACCATAGCTTTGACCATACGGACCATCAGGAAATGACATGATGTATGTCTACCCAGTAACTGACACTTTGTAAACATTCATTAAAAGGCAGCTATTATTATTTTTACTAGAAACAGTTTTGTCTGGGTACTCCCTGATGGTACCTTGAACAAAGTGAGAAGAGCAGGAAATCCTCTTTCACACAACAGGGACAGGTTTCTACCCCGACCACTTGGGTGAAGCCAAGATAACTGCTTTATTATCTAGACCTTGAAGCAGACTTAATATCCTAGAGCTGTCATAAGCTCACATCCTGTCCTCATTAGTTCAGAGTTCAATGAAAGACACAGTTCAATGAAAGGCATCAAGTCAGTGACAGCTGGACAGACCTTAAGAAAATCTGCTTATTTGACGAAATATTTATTGGGCACTGATATTGTACCAAAGCATGAAGCACAAAACCCACAATAAGGAATTATGATTGAAAAAGAACTTTTCCTGTGTTAAAAAAATTCAAAACAGGGGAATTCCCTGGCAGTCCGGTGGTCAGAACTCTACACTTTCACTGCAGAGGGCACAGGTTTGACCTCTGGCTGGGGAACTAAGATCCCACATGCTGTGTGGCACAGCCAAAAACAAACAAACAAAAAAACGTTTCAAACCCGAAATCTGAACAAAACAAATACTAGTCATGCATTCATTCCGTATCACTTACCTGGCATTTAGAATAACAGAAAATAGGTATCTAAGTTGGTCTAATTCCAAAGAGCCTAGAATTATCATTCATCATTTCTGCTAGATCAGCACTTCTCAAAGTGTGCCTGGAGACTTGTGACATTTTTCAGGAGCTCTGCTCTGCAAGGTCAAAATTATTCTCATAATAATTCTATAGTTTCATAACAGTTCATTTCTCTCTCATTCTCTCGTAAGTGTACACTGAAAATTTCCACAGCTTACATGACACACAGCCAAGAGACTGAAGGCAGAACTGATGAGAATACAGCTGCTAGATGACAAAGAGACTCAAAAACGTAAAATAATACTATTTTCACATTTTTTTTTTTGTTTTGGGAAAGTGCTAAATTTTCATAAAGCATTAGTTAACATTACCAATACAATATATTGTTATTTATAAGCAAATGAGTAAATACTTTTAAAATTGTTTAATTTCTAAAACGGTACATTGATAGTTATTATCCATATAAATAAAAACTCTCTAGGGTTCTTGATCATTTTTAATAGTGTAAAGGAGTCCTGATATCCTAGTTGAAAACTACTGTCCTGGATAACATAGAGAACTCAACTTATCTTGTGATTTTCTGTTCAGTCCAGGATCAATATGTTGCCCAAGTTTTAAATAATTTAAAGACCAGACTGCCCTTTGCCTGAAGATCTGAGTAAGTAGGCATTTAGTGGTCTACGGTGGCAAACTACTCCTTTCTACCTGCCACACCAGGAACATGAGTCTAGTGATCCAAACCCTGATTGTAATATATCTATCGTGCTCCATAGAGATCATTTCATTCTGCCCCTTTCTTGCCCTCCAGATACATGGTAGCAGCTGACCTAAGCCTGGGTTAATTTAAGATGAAATTACTCACCACTTTGCTCTTACATACTAAAGACAAGAGCTGGACCAACAATTCTTTGTGACCCACTGCAACATCATTGACGAATATGAACTATATACAAATATATTTGAAAGTCTAGATTGAGTTTCTCAACTAATGTATCAGGGCAGATAACACAGATGGGCCATACTTTTTTCTTTTTTAAGGCTCATTTACTTTTAAAAATATTTATTTATTTATTTATAGCTGTGCTGGGTCTTTGTTGCCGCTTGGGCTTTTCTCTAGTTGTGGTGAGTGGGGGCTACTCTTTGTTGTAGTGATCAGGCTTCTCATTGCGGTGGCTTCTCTTGTTGCAGAGCACGGATTCTAGAGTGCATGGGCTTCAGTAGTTGTAGCGAGTGGGCTCAAGAGTTGTTGTTTCTGGGCTCTAGACCACAGGCTCAATACTTGTGCTGCATGGGCTCAGCTGCTCCTCGGCATGTGGGGTCCTCCCAGATCAGAGATCCAACCTGTGTCTCCTGCACTGGCAGGCAGATTCTTTACCAATGATTCACCAGGGAAGCCCCTAGATGGGCTATGCTTATGTCGAGATGTTGCTTAGCTCTCAGGGTGGTCCACGGGGTGGACGGTAGCTAGAAATCCTGTCTGTAGCCTTTGGTCTCACGTACCCATTGTGCATGCACATATTATTTTCTACGTGTGCAGCAACATGATTGAGTTGGGAAGCACTGGCTTAGATCAATTCTGGAAAAATACAAAAATGTAAAAACTGATATATAAAAAAGAAAAATAACCATCAAAGAAACAGAAACAGACAACAAGATGAAGACGGGAAAAATACAATAAAAAGAGAAAGGTCTTATACAGACTGATGAAGATGGTATATCATTAAATGAAGAGTACTGAGTAACTAAATATTTTGAACCTGAATGCTCCACCCATTCATCTTCCACACACACACACACACACACAGAGATGAAAGCTGAGATATTTAAAGGTAAATGTGGAGTTCCATAGAAAACAA